GGTACAGAAATCGCCTGTGTAGTCAATAACTAGCTCAGCTAAGAACTTCTCTGAGTATTTATCGATCCCCCCACGAGGATTGAATGTGGCACAAGGCCGAGTTTAATGTGGGTTGACCCGAGCCCGTAGGCTCGGCCAAAAATATGGCCCTTGAACCCGCCTAGACGGGTTCAGGCCCTGTCTACCTCCCCGGACGAAACCTTGACCTTCGGCAAAGCTTCGTCCGGGTTCCTCTCTGCTAACGCACAGAGTTCGACAGACGTCGGAAGTCAGCTAGGAACTTCTCTGTCTATCTGTCTTTCGACATGCCACTATTTAAAGTCTTTGTTCGCAGATAAGTTCATCTTCAAGAGGGGTGGTAGGTTTCCGACAAAACACCGCATTTGTCAGTTTTCCTGGGCGTTTGTTTTTGATAGCCTTTCGTAACTGTTTCAGAAATTTGCATAGTACTCTCCATTGATGGTGTGGCCCTTTCGAAGGTAATCAGTAAACACATTTCCTTTTATATCCAAAAAATCTGAGATCATCCCCTTCCCTGCAGACGAAAAAACCTTGGTTTTCTTTGGAGCAGGTGGAGAGGGGTGTTTTCAGTGCATGACTTTCCCTTTGTCTCTGGCTCAAAGTGATGAACCCAACACTCATCCTGGGTTCAAAGCCACACTCACGCCCAACAGCCACTGAAACAAATGACGGGGCATTTGGTATTGATAACCTTTCGTAACCGCCACTGTAAGTTGGCATATGTCTCTCCATTGATAGTGTGGCCCTTTTCAAAGAGAATCATTAAGCACGGCACGGAATATAGTCTAGTATTTATTTAGTTTCTATATTATTGTCTTTATGCAAAATAAACAAGATAAAACGAAACAATGTGGTGCTATGGTTACCTAACGTATATTTCAGATCGACTTAAATTTATTTAATGAGGAGAGGAGGTATGCAAAATTGACACACACAAAGAGACAAACGAGAGAGGGAGGAAAACAGTGAGTAACCTATCTAAGGAAATTGTGTAAATGAATTGCAAAACAGGGAGTGAGAAGAACATAGAAAAGAATAATATTTATAAAATCTAGAACGTATAGGATGTTGTGGAGAGCCATAACTGCACAAATCGCGAAGAAACTCAACACAAAGAAGTAGTATAGTATTTAGAATCCCAAATTATTCGCTTTGTTAAAAAACTGAACAAGTTAAAACGAAATGTATGAGATCAATTGAAATCTATGTGACCCATATCGAGGAAAGAAAGTTTGGAAAATTCGATACTCTCAGGGTATAATGAAAATAAAATGGCCATGAAAAAACAAGTAATCTACATAATCTAGTCCACAGGAAGTGGGAAGCATCGTAAAAGGAAACACATTTCGAAGAGCTACAAGAGATTGGAAATTGTGGAGAGCTATGATCGCCCATGTGCTGAAGATAAGAAGACTGTATCACCACTGGCTACCTCACATATTTGGCTTTTGTCCCTGGACATGGAACAAATGCTCGTAAACATAGATCGCAAATCATTATTAGTGCAGCGTGGTAGATCCATATAAAGTACGCCACACTAATGACCTTGTGCCAGACTAAAGTAAGGAATAATTGATACAGTTATTTTCTCTTTTCTCGTTTAAAATATATGCTTTGTCTGTTTAGTGAAAATATGTGTATATGTAAACGTCTCTACCTCTTTATATCTGCATACTTTGTGGGCATCAATGTGCGTGTGTGAGAGGAAGCAAGCGTGTGGGTCGGTAAACGTTTGACTTGGACACACAAGACTGCATGAGCAATACTTTCAACCCCCATTTCTTACTGGGGCCTAATCTGCAGATATAACAGCTGGAAGACTTGTTCCTCGCAGTCAAATAGTTTTAAATCGCCTCCTCCTTTTTAGGAAGAAGCAAGAAGTAAACAGAATCATGAAAAAAGGCAAGAAAAAGAATATATAGAAAAGACTGTTGCAAAATGAATTAAAAAGAAAATTCGTGAATGTGGCATGTAGCAAGAATTACAACTACAGTCTCGTAACATCTGCGCATTTAGCGTCTATTAAGATAAAAGTATGAAGTTTATGAAGTAGAGACTAGTTGAAGGAGTTTGGTCTATACCACAAGTTACAACACTAAACTACTCCGTTCTTGAGGCTTTACTAAGGAATGATGGAATCAACAGCTTAAAGGACTGACAAAGAAACGTTAGCGCCAGAGATATATAACTATATAAATCTGCCTCGTTTATTTAAATTAGATATGTTGACTGACAAAGTTTTGAGCAAGAATCAATATTTGAGTGACTTTCATAAAAGATCAATTGTTGTCACGAAGACTTTTGACCAAGCTAAAGATTCCGGGAAAATGGTCGACTCATTCTACTATTTATAGACCTATCATAGAAATAAATATAAATACGATAAGGAAAACGCAAAGAAAGAAAAAAAAAAGAAAAAAAGAAAGAAAGAGACATGACAACAAATATTCAGCAGCAGCAGCTGTAACAAAAGAGAACAGCTTCAGTGAGTGCAGTCAAGCATGACAACAGCAACACTCATCAACAGGCAGGTTAGGTTTAAGGCTCCAAGTTCTCCACTCAGGATTTCCCACGGGACAATAGCCGAGTGGATTAAAACGTCGATTAGATAATTTGGTGACTGTAATGGTGAGTTCACTCCCTGGGTCAGGCAGTGTGTAGATACGACTAGACATGGAATAAGAAAGCACTCTACCCCGGTAGATTAAATGAAGGTTTCAGTTCAGAATTCACTGATGAAGGCTGAAGAAAGGCCGATAAGAATAGTCTGCATGTGATTTATTATTATTTATAGTTGACATGGCACGGACATTTATGAGATTATCTTGTCATGGTCCTGCATCAAAATCGAAAGGTCATTAGACGCATATATTGACCAGCACACCTGGTCAATATAGGCAACTGCTGGGCTCCCAACCCGTCTTGCGCCATGGCTAGGTATCCAGATCACTAGATCGAAAGTTAACGTTCCGCTCGACAGCAGCGTACAACAAAGCACAATCTATGTTTGCATAAGATTATAGAAATATCACAGATGGGTCTATATTCTGTGATTTAGTCGGATGTTGTCTCCAGGTGATGATAAGTATGGCTCTAAGCATCCGAGTGTAGATTCCATCAAGCTTAGATTATAGGGTTTTATTTAATATCCCAACAGTGGCACCATACATTAAAACCGCCTCTACAGTGGCTCAAATGAATCTCCGGTTGAGGTTGTTTGGTTGATCTGGTTTACAGATTACATCCATTTTATCGCAGGCGGCTCAGGCTTTTGCTATGCTAATAATCACAACATTTTCAATAGAATTTATTTCGCTTACTAGGTATGTCAAATATTCGACAGATTTTTTTTTATTCACCTGAGACAGTTTGAATGGATCCTTGCTGGTTGAAGATTATGAACTCAGTTTTAGAGGCACTGACATATAGTGACATCATTGGCAGTATTTTCTAAATGATGTAGGAGAAATGTGGCATTGGTAATGGTGTCTAAAGTGATATCTAGATAATCTGTATAGACAGTATCGATCAACTTTTTTACAGGATATCGACTTGAGAGTCTTGAGAATAAAATAAAACCTAGTTGATGATGTTTGTCGAGGAAAATTCTCAATACTTAGTCAAGGGTGCTAACAAAGAGTAACGGTGCAAGAGTGTCACCATGGAGGATGCCTGCTAGTGTCTACGTCTAGGGATTTAACCAAAGAGTTCGTATTTTTGTATAGTCCACATGTAAATAGGGTAAATAACGACAATGCATCACCCTAGAAATTTCAAATAGAAATTATTGCTGCTATCTTTGGACTAAAACTGCTCAATCCTCACTTTTCAGGGTTCCAAATCTTCTAGGCGCTCTTCTGCTAGACGTATTTTCCAATCTACAATTTTTTTTTTCCCACAGCCACAACGTTACATTTCGCCATTCTATCGCTATTTCCATGGAAAATGTTCAGATGAGCTCCATTATTTAGTTCCACCAGTTCAATCCATTAGAACTAAGCCAGGCCATGCCACAACCGCGGAATCGAATCACATTCATTTCCCCCAAAACCTTCAAAAATTCGTCTCAAAGATCGTTTTCCGAAAGAAATGCTATATTACGGAACAGATTCTCATGTAAATGTTCCCTGAATGCTTCAATATAAACCTCTTCAAGACAAAGGTTAATAGGTGCCTTATCCTGTTAATCTTCACTTCCTACCACTTTTTTCCCATAACGCACATTATCTAGTAATGCTCTACCTTGAGTGCCTCTCTTTTTTTATTTGGTGAATTTTACCAAAAAATGAATAAATAAAATTGGTGAGAAAATGTTCCAGGCTGATAAAGATAATTATTTAACTGCTGTAAATACTTAGGAAGAGAAAAAATATCAGAGCGAGCGAGTCAGTCAGTCTAGTCAGAGGCAGTCTGAAACAGAGTTGCGTTCAGGCAATTACTACAACACATTGGAATAGTGATACTGGTCGAGACTACATTGTTCTCTCTACTAAACCTGATTGTTCATACCAACACTTCTACTTCTCTGTATATATTCCTGTTTGTAATATATCTGTGTTATTCCATACCTGTGTTCGTATTCTTCTTTATTGGTTCTACCTTGGGCCATCACCGTGGTACAAGGATCTGGACCATAACAAGACTGAAGACTAAAACTAATTGAACCGAGCTTAACTCGATGATACTGTAACATGTTACAATGAATGTCTTATTTACAACATTGACTGATTGATATGTTTTACGGCTGATCAACACTTATTATTTAAGACCAGACTTTTAAATTGTAAGAATTGTTTTGAAGTAATAATTATTTACTGACAAAATTCCTACTATTTAACCCATAGCTGAGGGAGAAGAGGTGGATTCATACCTTTCCCAAGGGTATTTGTGCGTAAGTGAATGTAACGAACCCGCGTAAAATTGGAACTCGGCTCTCCGATTAACAATGCCGAGCCATTATCTATTAAATCACATACAAGCTTACAAAACCTGGTATTCCCAAGCGGTTACCCATCGAGGTACTGACCAGACTCGATCATGCTTAACTTCGGTGTACGTACGGGGAAAAGGTCTTTTAACCTGATATGGCCTTAAGCTTACAGCGTTGAAGTATATGATAGTCAGATCTATATAAGTTTCTAATTTTTTAATCAATTCACCCCATGCAAGGCGATAATGCCAGTAAGACGCAAGGGGCAACTGCAAGTGAAAGAAACTGAGAAGACTTTAGTGAGGGGAAAGGAAAATAAAAGATTAGGGTTCAGGAAGACAGACAGTGTCGCATTTAAATTTTTGAAGATCATGGGTGGCAGGGAAGAAAGAAATCGCTAGGGAGTTCCACAGGTGATAAGTGCGGGAAAAGAATCTATTAAAATAAGACCTGAGGTTATATCTAGCTAGTTCAATGGTAAAACTGTGAGACCTAGTTGCCAATCTAGTAGTAACTTTATGCACTCGAAGCAGCAAGTAGGAAAGCTCATAAGGGTGGCCATAAACATATTTGTAGAAAATACAGCTGTTAGCCGCGTCATGTCGGTGAGAAAGTGACTGATGTCGGGATACCAGATCAGGATCGATTACATTACACAGCCCTCTTTGAATTTGGTCAAGAATCTTAGTAGGAGCACTGAAACAGTTATGGCAGCCATATTAAATGCGCGGTAGATTTATGAATGGGCAAGTTGTATTCTGAGGAAAATCATTGTCTGGTACGTCACACTGAACATCTTTCCTGACAGTTAACCGAGAAATTGAACCAATATAATCACTTCACTTCACATTAGTGGAAAACGTAAACGTAAGAAGCCTTAAAGAGTTGCTCTCCAGGAGGTTAGTAAAAGCCATGCTGATGGCAGGCAGAAAAGGTTCTGTGCTGATTAAATGAAAGCAATTTTGTTTTGGAGTCGTTAAAATTTACAAGCGATTCCTTGCCCCAGTTAATCAATGATTGGAGCTCATTTTCGAGAAGAGTCTCCAGTGTTTCTTTTGAAATTAATTCCGATCTTAGAATAAACTATTATTTCTGAATTAATGTATTTAAATATTGTTTAAATCATTCAGAATTGGAGCCTATAACATCACTACGTATCTACCATCGAATTACTAAGTTATTTATAACTTTACGATAAGACTCTAATGTTTTTGGACATCAAGAAATTTTTGAATAACAGTTTCTGTATCTTCATTGCAACCGTAAATTGTATTTGAGAATCTTATACGACAGCACAGCTCAAAAACTTTAGCAATTGATGCTACCCACGTAGATTAAACAAATAGTTCGATTCAGAATTCTTGGATCCTGGATCGATATACCCCTGATGAAGGCCAGAGAGAACAACTGTCGAAGTATTGTGATAAAAACAGCAAACAGTCCAAATGTAAATAGAAATATGTTCAGCACGTAAAAAATCTCGTTTCTTTAATTTCTCTTATGTGCTGCATCTATTCAGGACGTTGCGACTATAGCTCTTCACATCTTCCTTTCCTTTGAAAAGTAAGAATTGTTTGCCCACGTAAAGTCCGACCCGTCCATGTTCTGCTATGCATATATACAAATTCCTTAGGTAGGTGGCAGCAAGTTTCCCTTTGTTCCTTTTGATTTCAATTTTGGTCTGTGAGTATCAAATTCTTAAAGCCGTTTTTCCTCCATATATGGTGGATGTGTGGGCGGTGTAATGGATAGCGACCCGAAATGAGAAGACGGAGAGACGTGTTTCAGTTAAGCTTCTGTGCAAATAGCCAAGAGAAAGGTACGAATCCATCTCTCTTCCCCTAGATATGGGTTAAATAGTTATTTTGAAAAAATTATTGTTATCTACAAAAAAAAAAAAATGGAAAGGAAATATTCACTCTCAAAAAGAAAAGAATTAATCTTACAATGTAAAATATATTTCGACTTTAAATAACCCTGAATGGGTCGATAAACTGTAAAAAAGCAGATCAATCATCTAACAATCTTTATTTTACTTCTCAGAATTATTCAATTGTCTCTGAGCCAGTTTTCCTTAAAATCTCCTGATTGCACACATGTTCCGGCTATGGTATTATCTTTTATAGACCCACAACACCGTTGGCTCAAGTCACCTCTTCATCTGTGAAGAGATTGTCCAGCATCGTATACCCTATAGGAAGACTATAGCAGTTCAGCATTCTCTCCTTTGTTTATAATGAAATTTTCCCATTTCTTATACTTGGTTTAATTTTGGAAGGCATCAATGCTATTTCAATGCATTATCTGATTTCGTTGTCACGAATTGGTTCATCTATTGTCCGGTTCACTTACCGCCCAGTTTATAGTCCTCCCCGGTTTTTTGTTGTTTAGGATTGGGTTTCCAGTTCATTCTAAAGTCTGTTAAAGCGTGTTCTGTCCTACGCTTATTTTTCTTAAGTCCACACAGTAACACTCTACCTTAAGTGACTCTTGGGCCTTGTATTGACTAAACATTAGTAAAATGTTTCAAAACTTAAAACAGTTAAATTTCTGTATATATATAATTGAATTTGTCATTTGAGAATCATAGCTCGCATCTTGGGCTCTCCTTGCTATCGACTAAACATTGTATTCTTACAAATGAAGGTCACCCTGGCGGCTGGGGCTTCAGAATAGGCTGATTGCACATCTACAGAGGGCTAAGATCCCCACCAATGAGGCGTCCTGGGTATGACGATAAACTAAATCTGGCAGCACGGCCTTTTAATTACAGGTGTTCCAGGTTCATCCTGAGACGAAGTGGTAGCACCTGTTAGGGTCCCAGCTATGAATGTTGTAACCTAGAGAAGGTCACTGAGTAGAACAATTACATGAAGGTTGGTAATAAACGATAATACTTAGGACAAGAACAACACATATAAGATTCGCCAGCGGCGCGTAGAAGAAGTAGTTAACTGCTAGAAGTGAGTGAAGTGAATTCCCTAATGAATCACCAACTGCAGGATATCTACCAACCGCATTACGTGGTCAGATGTGTGGCACAATGCCGAATTTAATGTGAAGTATCCGAGCCCATAATGCTCGGCCAAAACTTCCCCGTAGACACCGTATAAAACGGGTTCGGGTAGCTGTTTCCCGAGACAAGACTTTTGCCCTTCGACAGAGTCTCGTCTGGGGATCCTCTCTGCCCGGAGGCAGAGGGTTTGACCAGCACAGCTGGAGACGAATCTCCGACTGCAGACCAACATACAGTATTTACTACTATATTTATGTTAATGGTGACATTATTGTCGGTAGATATGCTACAACAATGAGCAAATAGTTAACCCCTAAATTGGGGTCAAAAATGTAAAAATAGGTTTTCATACCAGCAATACATTTTGGGAAAAAATTTCCCACAATACATTTTTTGAAAAAAAAAAAATTACCAGCAATACATTTAACAAAAAAAAATAAAATAAAATAAAAAAATATTACCAGCAATAAAAATCTTATCGGTATTAAATAACCCATTGTGATTGATATCCATTAAATCAAACCAAAACACAAATGAACGTTAGTCCTTTCTTCTCACTTTCCTTTTATACCCTGTTGAGGAGATAGTACAGTTTTCTTTCTGCGTCTACAATCAACAAGGCGTTACCTGCGTGTCTTACTTTGTTAAGAATGTGTCCGGAGATAATACATCCTGGCAGTTCTGTTACGACAAGCCTCATTTTATTCGTTACAAAATACGATAAGAAATTGCTTTATTCCCTTATTGTGTACTTGTCCCCGGGGCAGTTTGTTAAATCAATTTGAATATTTATTGATAAATGTGCTTTTTAATCCAATGCTATGATAATACCACTGGGAAATAGAGAATTTGTCTGTCGCGTTTAGAATAAAAGTACACTGAAAAAGTTTCAGCAGACGACAATCTCGGTGTAATTTTACAGTTGGTCCGCTTGTGTTTTGCTAAGGTTACTCTTTGACCCCCGAAAAAATGCTGCTTATTTTCAGAAAAAGGAGGGAAGTTTTTCTTCTGTTCGTGTTTGTTGATATGACTTGGTTGAATTGACACAACATTCACTACAGAGACAAACCGTCTGGATTCCGCACTCCTGATATCTATCTATCTATCTATCTATCTATCTATCTATCTATCTATCACATTCTATTCATATCTATCTAGCTAGCTTGCTAGTTATCACATTTTCTTCATATCTATCATATTCTGTTCATATCTAACACATTCTATTCATATCTATCTATCTATCTATCTATCTATCTATCTATTCTGTTCATATCTATCTGTCACATTCTATTCATATCGAGCTAGCTAGCTTACTAGTTTTCCTATTTTCTCCATATCTATTTATCATATTCTGTTCATATCTATCACATTCTATTAATATCTATCTATCTATCTATCTATCTATCTATTCTGTTCATATCTATCTATCTATCTATCTATCTATCTATAACATTCTATTCATATCTATCTATCTATTTATCTATCTATCTATAACATTCTATTCATATCTATCTATCTATTTATCTATCTCAGGTTGTTTACGTTTATTTATCTATATATGATTTATTATTTTCACACACACACACACACACTCTCTCTCTCTCTCTCTCTCTCTCTCTCTCTCTCTCTTCATATCTTTGCCAGAATTTTCAACCAAATTTATAAGCCAATACATATATTTATACCCATCCAGCAGCCATCCTCTTGACTCGTGACAGCACTACCTCCTCAAGGCACTTGATGTAGGCCTCCATGTTGAGTCTGAAGCCAAGTGGGAAGATGAATGGAGGCATAACGTCGCCATCTCTAGTGATCTTTCCAAACACCTTCGTAATCACCATTAGACTCATCCAACTCTTTCCGAATCCTCTGCGCTGTCCTCAGATTGACACCCAAAGAAAATTGCTAGGAGCCATAAGGAAACAACAAACAGTAAATAAAATATATTTCTCCATATTGAATTGTGTATAAAATGTCCCTTCCAGCACTATGCATTCCAACCAATTTTCACCTACAAAAATTTAAATGAAATATCAATTGCTATCTACTGTCTTCCTGATTACTCTTTCCTCTTCTTGTTCATTATTAATGTTTCTGTTCCTAATTCTTGTAAACACTGTAACTCCTTATGTCTTAGCAGCTTTACTGCTTTACATGGGATGATATCTGTTTAGAAAAAAAAAAAAGCACTTGCAAATGTTCGAGCAGAGTCTACCAGTGCTTGAGAAAATCAAGTTACATCAGTTTGAAACTTGTAGCCATTTTTCAGAAGATGATTATTTAAATATTGGAGTCTTCAGTGAAAACTTCACCAGGCTCAACACATCAATAGCATTCAGCTCAACAAAGAACTTAATCGCACTAAAGTACTGTGCAGGAAGAAGAGGGGGGAAATAATTTCGATATATTGATGACGATCTATTAATATATCCCTGCAAAACTACATTACCTTACCTTGTAGATAAACTAACAAAAGTCGAATATACGATAGAATTTATGTATGAAACAAAAACAAAACCCCCAAAATATTAACCTCCCTAGATATTATGATACACCGTAGTAATAATCACAAAAAACTAAGTGTCCATCGCAAATTAGCTAAAAAGAATGACCTCATAAATTTCTATTCTCACCATAACAACAAAATAAAATCGGGAATAATTATCGTATTCTATTTAAGAGCACTCAGGATTTGAAGCCCACAATATTTACACGATGAGAGGAAATACATTTAAAATATTTTTATATTCCCTCATTACTTTAATTAGTTCATATTCAAACCTAAACAAAAGTATCATCAAATATTTCAAAACAAATGACAAGATTTGGTTATTGCTGGTGAGTTGTAGAAATTTGTATAAAAGTAGGATTGCTGCCCAAATCCACAATTATTAACTTACATGACCTGGCCGCCAACAAGGAAATTCACACTACAACATTCAGAAGATATCTACTATAAAAAAATGGAAACTGCAAACACATTATCAACAACAGCAACTCACCTAAAAGATTAAAATTACAGAGAACCAATATTATTTACCAATTCCCATGTCCTTTAAGGAATTGTGTTCTTGATCAAACCAAATTCATGAATAATTTTATTGGACAACATGCCTAGCAAGAATATAAGAACGCAAGAAAAACTTGATATATATATCGAACTATATATATATATATATATATATATATATATATATATATATATATATATATATATATATATGAAGAAATAATCATACATAGAATCAATCAATAATATTAATGCGATCAATGGCGAAATCACTTCGCTAGTAGAACATAATTTTATGCATTAAAATACTGTTAATCCATTGAATGATGTGATCCTAATTTATAAAACTGTTGTCAGATGTTTCTAGTGTATATATTTTTAAAGTTAAGCAATTACTTTCGAAGATCCATGTCTTCATCATCAGGCTGTCATTTTTTTCCTTTAAAGTTAAAACTTGAAGAAGAAATAATTGTTTGTAGGCCGAAAGATGTTTTTTACGAATGTGCTATTTATTGACGGTTGTACAATCTCGGAATGTGCGAGTCGCAACGCTAAAGTTCAAAATTTCAAGTGAGAATTTTTATATGAATTTTGTAATATGGTAAATCCACGAATTCATTTTTTACAAGTATTTTTCAGTTAACATGACATGAACTAAGTATATAGTTCAATTAATATAGTGATATGTCTTAGTAGATATTTTTTCTGAGGAATCTCTCTCTCTCTCTCTCTCTCTGTGTGTGTGTGTGTGTGTGTGTGTGTGTGTGTGTGTGTGTGATTTCATCCCAAGCATGGCAAAAATGACGCTAAGATACAAGGTTTCTTTTACATTTTTATGTATCGTGTCCATTCTTGGTATAGGCGATCAGGGATCTCAATATTAGCATCCTTCTGTAGAATTTCATTTCTGTTGCTTCAAGTCTCTTCTTCCTCTGTGAGGAGATTGTCCAGCATTCACTGCCATATAGGAGGACTGATATTACATAACAGTTCAGTACTCTTTTCTTTGTTTCTCTTGCTTCAAGTCACATCTTCATCTGTGAGGAGATTGTCCAGCATACACTGCCATATAGGATGACTGATCTTACGTAACAGTTCAGAATTCTTTTCTTTGTTTCTCTTGCTTGAAGTTTCTTCTTCATCTGTGAGGAGATTGTCCAGTATTCACTGCCATATAGGTTGACTGATATTACGTAAGAGTTCAGTATTCTTTTCTTTGTTTCTATTGCTTGAAGACTTTTCTTCATCTTTGAGGAGATTGCCCAAAATTTACTGCTACGTAGGACTGATATCACGTAAACAGTTCAGTACCCTTTTCTTTGTTTCTAATGGATGTATAAAGAATAAAGAAAGAAAAACATTAAGGAACGAGAATAATAAAAGAGGAATGAAACAAAAAGAAGATTGTCATTGCATTTAAGTTTCTGAAGATTAAAGTTCACTGGAAATCAAGAAGCCGGAAGAGAGTTCCACAAGCAAGAAGTGCGATAGAGGAAACTATTAGCATAGAACCTACGTTTTCATCTAGCTATTTTAACTGTAAAGAGATGAGACCTTGCCGCCACTCTAGTACTGCGCTTAAATTCATAATGTCTAGGTATCATAGAGTAGACTTCATCAGAAAGTATTTGTATAAGAGCCTCAGGGAAACTATGTTACGGCGGTGGGAAAGTGACTGAAGCCGAGATGCCAGGACAGGACCGATAATATTGCAGATTCTTCTTTTATCAAGAATCTCTAAGCAGCAGATCACATATGTGGCTATAATATTCGAAGAAGGGTAGACTTATAAATAAGTAAAATAGATTCTGGGGAGAAAATTGTTTAGCATGAATCATTGAACCAACTTTCCTAGCAGAAGACCTAGCAATTGATTCAATATAATCTTTCCACTTCATCTCAGAAGAGAACATTAACCCAAGATGGCGGAACAAGTCACACTCCTGAAGGTCAGCATCTGTCATGTTGAAGGCAGAGAGGGGTCTCTCGGATTTATAGGCAATATATTTTGTCTTCTTAATTCAATTTTCTTACGAGCGTTTTTCATTCATTCTTCGTTCGCGTGATTTCCTTTTTTCTTCGTTGTTTTTTTTTTGTAAACTTTTTTTAATTTTATTTTTCCTTTATTCTTGAATTCTTTTTACCTTCACTTTCTGCATTCTTTCCTCTTCTTTCTTTTATTTCCTTTCTTTTTTGTGTCTTTTTCTTCTTTTCTTTCTTCTTTTCTTTCTTCCTTAACTTCTTTCTTGTCTTTTTAACTTTTCATTTTTCTTTCCTTTTCTTTCTTTTTTGGTTTAGTTTGTTATTTATTTTTCTTTTCTTTCTTTCTTTCTTTCTTTCTTTTATGTACCCTCTTTTTTTGTTTATTTGCTTCTTTAGTTTTCCTTTCTTTTTTTTTCTTCCTTTCTTTTAGTGACTTTCTTTTTCTAACTTTTCTTCCGTTCTTTATTCTTCACTCCTGATACTTCCTTCCTTGTTTATCAGTTCTTTTTCTTTTCTTTCTTCCTTCTTTTCCTATTTCTTTTATTTCTTTATTGCTTTCTTTCTTTCTTTCTTTCTTTTATGACTTTTGTCCTTGTTTCTTTACTCCTCCTCTTCTTTTTCTTTTCTCGTTCTTTTTCTTTCTTTCTCTCTTTTTCTGTTTTCCTCTCTTTCTTTATTTCTTTGTTTTAAAAAGTTTTTCTTTCTTTTTCCCTTTTTTTATCTTCTTTTTCTGTTTAATTTCTACATCAGTTTTCCGTTGTTTTGTCTTTCTTTCTTTCTTTCTTTCTTTCTTTCTTTTATCTTCATATTCTTTCTTTCTTATATACCCCCTTTCATTATTTTTCCTTTCTTTCTCCTTCCCATTCTTTCTTTCTTTCTTTCTTTCTTTCTTTCTTTCTTTCTCCAGTTATCTGTTCTTATTCTTCTTCTTTACACCCTTTTTCTTCTTTGTCATTCTTTCTTTCGTTCTTACCTTTTAATTCGTATTTTTCCTTCTCTCTTTTATTATCTTTTTTCTCTCTTTACTCCTCTTTTTATTTTATTTTTCCGTTCTTTCTTTCATTTTTTTCTTTCTTTCATTTTTACTTTCTTTCTTTTCTTTCTTTATTTCTCTCTGTCTTTCTTTCTATTTTCCTCTCATTCATTCATTCTTTTCTTCTTTCTTTTATTATCCTTCTTTTTCTCTCTTTACTCCTCTTTTTATTTTATTTTTCCGTTTTTTTTTCTTTTCGTCTTTCTTTCTTTTTTCTCTTTCTATCCTTCATTTTCTTGTTTATGCTTTCATATATTTTGTTTGTTTGTTTCTTTCTTTCTTTCTTTCTTTTTTCTTTAATAAATTCCTCTTTATTCTTTGTCTGTTTCTTTCCATCTTTCTTTCTTTTTTCGCTTTTTATCCCTCATTTTCATTTTTGATGTTTCTGTCTTTCTTTCTTTCTTTCTTCAATAAATTCATATTTATTCCTTGTCTCTTTCCGTCTTTCCTTTTCTTTCTCTTTTTATCCCTTATTTTCTTGTATATGTTTTTCTATCTTTTCTTTCTTTCTTTCTTTCTTTCTTTCTTTCTATTTTCCTCTCTGTCGTTCATTCATTCTTTCCTTGTTTCTTTTATTATCCTTCTTTTTCTCTCTTTACTCCTCCTTTTATTTTATTTTTCCGTTTTTTTCTTTCTTTCTTTCTTTCTTTCTTTCTTTTTCTTTCTTTCTTTCTTTCTTTAATAAATTCCTTTTTATTCTTTGTCTCTTTCCGGCTTTCTTTTTTTTCTCTTTTTATTCCTCATTTTCTTGTATATATTTTCCTATCTTTTCTTTCTTTCTTTCTTTTTTTCTTTCTTTCTTTCTTTTCTTTCTTTCTTTCTTTCTTTCTTTCTTTCTTTCTTTTCTTTCTTTCTTTCTTTCTATTTTCCTCTCCGTCATTCATTCATTCATTCTTTCCTTCTTTCTTTTATTATCCTTCTTTTTCTCTCTTTACTCCTCCTTTTATTTTATTTTTCCGTTATTCTTTCTTTCTTTCTTTCTTTCTTTCTTTCTTTCTTTCAACTTCTGACCCTTTCGATGTACATCCACCCTTTTCCGTAACCCCATCTTAGTAAGGTATATGGTTTCACCGTCTGGCACATATCTCACGATGGCAGTAGCTAATGAAAGTCTTTCTATCAGATGAAACTAACCCTTCTAAAATATATATGAGGGCCAAAAAGAAAAAGAAAAAAACAAAAACAGCAAAGACCGTTATTCCTTGCAAAGTTCCTCAACGATGCAATCCAAAGATTATACACAACTCTATCTCATCCGATAGGCACCTATCAGTGTCAATATTGCATGTGGGAGGAGTTTATTTGAGATGACGGGGGCCAAGGCTTTACCTCTTGTTTTATGGATCGCCAAGTAGGCATTCGTTACGACAAAAGCAGGAAATAGAATTTGGCCCACGATAACTGATATGTATCTTCGTATTCGACATATTTTTCCTCCCTTTCTCTCAACTTATTTCGGTGATAAACACATAAAATAATGTCCGGTATAAATATCGCATGGAATTCCTGTAATACTTCCAAATACAGACCCTTCTTTAGAACATCGAAATAAAATAATCCTTATTTTGTGTGTCCATAGCAAGGACATGAATATTATTACTACCTTTTCCATTCGTCGGCAATCATGGTTCTCCAAACATCCTATTATTTTTAGCTCTTAAAAATAATTGCAGTTTCATTCTCCCCTCAAACTATATTCTGCCATCCATTTACATAAGTTTGTTATGTAGGTAATTTACTGTTTCTATCTCTCTTGCATTCAAGGTCTGACGGCGATATCATGTTGAAGGTTAAGCAACGTCAAGCTTACTCAATGCCTATATGGGTAACTGTATGGGAAAACCAGGGACTGTAAGCTTGGATGTGCGGGTGGTGTAATAAATAATAGTTCAGAATTTGTTAATCAAAGACGTGTCTTCCAATTCCGGCTGTGTTCTTTATATTCACTTCTGCGTAAATATCCTTAGAAAAGGTACTAATCCATCTCTTCTCCCCAGGCTATGGGTTAATTAGTAAGACTTGCATTTAATAAACCATTATTACTTCCTCCTGGTTTTCTCATTAAGTGTCCTAGAAATTGCAACTGTATTTTTCTGACAAATATAAATGCCCCCTTTTTTTTCATTTGCCTTAAACCTTCTTTGTTACCCACACACTGTGAACATTCTTCGGTAGACCGTCTCGAGTCTCTTCGTCACCTACAGAAATTGTATAGCACAAGATTCTTGACAAAATTCAAAGGAATGTCTGCAATATTATTAGGCCTTCATCATGGCTGCCGTCATTTTCCCAACGCGTGTAACGTAGGCTCTGGTTGTTTCTTTTATAAATCTACCATTCGCCCCTGCATTGAATATTGTTGTAATATCTGGTCGAGTGCTCCTGTTGTATATCTCAACATTCTTGACAAAATTCATAGGAGGGCTTGCAATGTTATAAGCCCTCTTCAAAGAATTAAATTTAATATCAAACGCCGTCTTTTCTCATTATGTGTCCAAAAAATTTCAGCTTTATTTTTCTGATTACAAACATAAGTGCCCCAGAAGAGCGACACTTTGCGCTTCACTGGATTTACGTTTGCCACTGACAGGAATCAAGAAGACAGAAGATAGCGATTGGCACTGCATTTAAATTTTGAAGATCAAACTTGACTGGAAAGCAAGAAGCCGGAAAAAAACTTCCATAAAGTGGTCCTGACCTGGCATCTGGGCTTCAGTCCTGTCCACCATTGTAACGTAGATTCCCTGTGTCTTTTATATAAATACTTTCATAGTAATTATTCTGATGAACTTTTCACTATGGTACCTAAACTTTATGAATTTAAGCGCAGTACTAGATTGACGTCAAGATCTTATCTTTTTGCAGTTGAAATGACTAGATGTAACCGTAAATTCATTTTAAACAGTTTGTTCTATCGCATTCCTCGCTTGTGGAACACTCTTCCGGCTTCTTGCTGCCCAGTCTATTTTGATCTTAAAAAATTTAAATACAGAGCCAATCGATATTTTCTGTTTTCTTAATTCTTGTTCTTTTATTGTTAACTTTCCTTAATACTCTTTCTTTCTCATATTCTCTAACAGTCAGTAACCCCTTGCGTCTTAGTGGCTTTATTGCCTTTGATCTTCAAAAATTTAAATGCAATGTCAATCGTTATCTTCTATCTTCTTAATTCTTGTTCTTTTATTGTTCTCTCTCTTTAATAGTACTTGTCTCTCATATTCTTTATCACTCAGTATCCCCTTGCGTCTTAGTGGCCATATTCCCTTTATTGGGATGAAATGATTGATAAAAAAGAACATTATCATTGTTCACGTACTATTCTCAATATCCTTCTTTAGAACCACATTTTATTTGCTTAAAGTCTCTTCTTCATCTATGAGAAGATTAAAAGCATTCCCTGTTATATTGGAGGACTGACATTAGTAACTATTAGTATTATTAGTAACTATTAGTATTATTTCCTTTGTTTCTAACGGATTTTTCCTGTTTTTAATACTTTTTTAGCATTTGAGAAAAATGTCAGTGTCTTCGAATGTCAGTGTCGTAGATTCCCAATTTTGTCAGCCATTTACATAACCTCGGCAGGTAGGTCATTTGCTTTTTTCTTCTTTCCCATTGCCTTTAATATCTCCTGCGAGTGTTACTTCTCTAAACCCTCTTTCGCGCTCTGTCCTGGGTATGACGATAAACTACATCAGGCAGCAAGACCTCTGATCGGGAGGAATTGAGTAGCACGGAACCACCTCTTAATTACTTTTGTTCCCAGGTCCACCCTGACCCGGGGTGGTAGCACCTGTTAGGGTCTCAGCTATGGGTAAATTTATTCTAAAAATCTCGTCGGCATTAAATAACCCATTGCGGTGTTGATATGCCGTAAAACAAAACAAACCAAACCAAACAAGCCTATCGACAAAAATCCTCCTTACAAAAATACATCAATGAAACCTGATCTACAAAATGATTTCTTACAAAGAATACATATTCTATTCATAGGAACCTATCCTTAAATTTTGTCGTCATTAAATAACCCATTGATATGTTGATATGCCGTAAAACAAAATAAACCAAACCAAACCAGACTCTTGACAAAAAACCCTCCTTACAAAAATACATCAATGAAACCTGATCTATAAACAGAAAATACATATTCTCTTCATACGAACCTATCTTAAAATCTTGTCGGCATTAAATAACCCCTTGAGTTGTTGATCTGCCATAAAATAAACCAAACCAAAGTGCCCTGGAAATTTCGACTGACTTTTTTTCTGATTCCAAGTATAAATGTTGTTTTTGTTCCTATTTTCCTGAAAATTTCGTAAGTAAATATTTGCATTTGCTACGTTTGCCAATAAATTTGAACAGAGATTAAAGATGCGCCCTTCTTTGCTTTACAAGGACGAAACAAGGATCAACTATTTTTAAATTTGGTAGGTCGTGTCTGCCATGAAAATCCGCTTTGAAAATCCAGACTCACCTTGAACATAGACCATCGAAGTCTGTGTGACTTACACAGCACTCTTACTGAACAGGCAGGCCAAAGTATAGAATATGCAAGAACTTAACTTTCATTTTGAAAGATTGGAAGAATTCTGTCAAATAGTTTTCGAACAGAACAAATCGAATCAGTATAGATAAAAAGCGATTAAATCATACACCACAGGAAACCTCAAAATTTAATGAAATTCGGTTTCCTTAATTAAGGTTCTACTATCTTAAAATGTAATTATATATCTTTGTAAAATACGAGTCAACTTCCCATGAAACGAATCTGTGATGCAGGGGTCAAATCTGCCGTGTTACATCTCAAAATAATATATAGAATCGGTTTCTGCTATTATTGCGCTTTTTTTTCTGAAAACAAACACCACAGAATTCTTATTTTATACTCCATATACTTTTAGAACGGGGACGAGTCCAAAAGACGTTTACGTCGTCTTCAGGCGGTAC